CTTTATCTTTTCCAGCTTTACAGAGGCGTAATATTTACAGCTGCTGAAGAGGTTGTACAACAATATTTTAATCAACATCCATCTTGGCGGAGCCTTAATGGTCTTACCAAAGAAAGGGATTTCCATGACTGGTACTATTCAATAAGTGAGTATTGAACAACCAGTTTCCACTTCTTGCAAAGTGTGATAAAACATTATACATGTATTAATCGTATGAAAACAAGGAGGCAACAATGTTGCAACTGATGAATTCCAAGGGAAGACGTCATACAATTCAACACTACATACACGTGTCGAGGTAGGTGGTAATATTTATGCCAAAAGGCACACAATTGGATAGAGGGAGTGGCCTCTTCTGTAGAGGCCACTGGAGCTAAACGATACGACGTCCCGTTACAAGCACCAAGGCGCAAACAACATACAAAGTCGGAGCTCGTAAAGGCGATTCAGGATATTCAACGACAATTTAAAAATCTCACGAGACAATCATATCGCCAGCTTTTAAAAATAGCTCAAGACAACAACATAGAATTGACAGCCACGGGTGTACATGGAAAAATATTGCGAACGGACTTGATCACCGCGATTAAAGCGTATATTAAGCCGCAAAAGATTGAAGAAGTGGACATCCGAAGAATTAGGCGCTTTAGGGGCAGTTATAGAAATTGGAACTGATATCTAATTTCAATGAAAACGATCTGATTCATTTTTAATTTTTTATAGAAAGTATATCGAAGATAAAGCACTTGCCGATTTTAGGGAAATTGGCTCTCATAAATTACAAACGGCCTTTCAGATTCAGTTTAAAATCGAAAAAACCGGAAGCAGAGACTATTAAAACTTGGCGTTTTCACATTTACGAGCAAGTATAACGCGGTCTTTTCTAAAAAGGGAATTAAAGAAGCGTTAATCCAGCAGATCGCGCAACATAAAGAAGACGTATTTGGTTGGCAAAACTGCTATTATCAATGTCCAAAAGATGATCAAAAGTGCATCCGTTGGGCGTTGAGATCTGCTTTAAAATTATATTCAAAGAATGTCAAGCGTCGGTTGGAAATTAATCCAAATTACAAAATACATGACGAGCGCACCACGACTTACACTTACACGGACTAAATTTTACAAACGTAAATTTTCCAATGCCCATTTCACAAATCCTGCGCATCGAATCACAAAATAATTTAGCCATTAATGTATTTGGCTATACCGGGAAAGAAGGCACTTATGTACTTTATAAGACAAAGCGTGAAAAAGAGCCCATCAGTTTACTCTACTTTACCAAAGGCGAAACGAGTCACTATTGCTGGATCAAAAATTTCTCACGTTTGATGGGTGACATCAATAATCACAACGGTAGAAAAAAAACACTGCCAAGGAATTGACACAGCGGTGTGCAAGGTCGAAATGCCCGCCAAAGGCCAAAAATATTCTCAAGTTTGAAAATTATAAAAATAAGCAAGATGCCCCGTTTTTAATTTACGCGGATTTCGAGTCTGTTTCAGAAAATTTACCACCAAAAGAATTAAACACGATTAAAACACAAATCCATAAGCCCTGCGGCTATTCTTACACCGTTGTAAGATGTGACAAAATTTGCACTGGCCTCCAGACTTACAGAGGTAAAGACGCGGCAATTAAATTTGTGCAGTCTCTTTCCAGAGAAGTCGAAAAATTTAACGAAACATTTGAACCGCTGTTGGATCTGTGAAAAGCTTATCGGCAAGACAAAAGAATCTCAATGCCAATGCCTGATTCCAAACGAGCCAAAAACAAAGGACGAAAAAGCTGCCTTTAGTTCAGTCAATGAATCCAATGGTTTCAGGGATTACATTTGTATGACCTGCGCAAAGCCAATCAATAAATCTCGCACGGTCAGAGATCACTTTGTTACGTGACGGGGAAGTACCGAGGCCCAGCGCACGCCAGTTGTAATTCAAAGTAGAGAGTCGTCCCAAATCAAACCATTCCAGTCATTTTACACAATTTGGAGAAATATGACGTGCACTTAATCATGCAAGGCGCCCAAGCGTTTAACGGCGGTAAAATTGGCGTCATTGCTACAAAAATACCGAGAATTATATCTCGTTTAGCTTCGACCAACTCAGGTTCCTAGACTCCTTCCATTTCATGGCCACTTCGCTTGGATCAACTGGTTAATTAAGAATTGTTCACCCAATGATTTTAACTTACTTCGGGAAAGATTCCCAGAAAACACGGATTTATTATTGGAAAAAGGCATTTACCCTTACGAGTATATCAGCTCCTTTGACCGATTCCAAGAGACGAGCTTACCACGAAGAGACGTATTTTATCGTTCTCTGAAACAGTGAACAGTCACTGAGCAAGAATACGCTCATGCACAAACGGTATGGCACATGTTTAAGTGTAAAAAAACCTAGGCGACTACCACTACGTGGAAACTGACGTGTTACTACTAGCGGGTGTATTTGAGAACTTCCGCAAGTTCTGTAAACAGAACTACTGCCTTGACCCGGCGAACTATTACACTTCACCGGGCCTTTCGTGGGACGCGCTGTTAAAGCACTCCGGCATCGATTTGGAACTATTGACAAATATAGACAAGCACTTGTTCTTTGAAAGGGCTCAAAGAGGCAGTATTTCTAGCGTAGGTGCAAAGCGCTATGCAAAGGCAAACAATCCCGAATTAAAAGATTATGATCCAAATAAGCCAGAGTCGCATATTTTACAATTTGACGCGAATAATTTATACGGCTGGGCCATGAGTCAGCCTTTGCCCTTTAAAGATTTTAATTGGTTTCAGGACGTAACTAAATTTACCCCAGAGTACATCTCGAAAACTTATCCAAGAGCGTCAAAAGGTTATATACTCGAGGTGACGTTAGATTATCCGCAGCACTCACACGATTTACACAACGACTTCCCACTAGCTCCTGAAAATATATCGATTCCAAATGAACGGCTATCGGAATATCAAAAAGACTTGATATTACACGACGAGCGAATTACTTTAATAGATAAACTCGTGTCGACTTTAAATACTAAAAATAAATACGTGGTTCACTTTACAGAAATATTTAGAACTCGGCCTAGAATTAAAACAGGTGCATCGTGTCATGCCTTTTAAACAAGCGCCCTGTATGAAGAGTTATATCGATAAAAATACCGAGTTACGCAGATTAGGCAAGTCCGATTTTGAGAAGGATTTCTTTAAGTTAATGAACAACTCGGTCTTTGGCAAGACGATGGAAAACGTGCGCTGCCGAATGGATGGCTACTTATTGAGAGATTCGCAATACGCCAAAAAATATCAGAAGCTAACTTTTAAACCAAATTACAAATCCACTACGCCGTCGAGATGTATTGCATAAAAACAAAATTAAATAAACCCATTTATTGCGGCGTAAGCGTATTAGATATATCCAAAACTTTAATGCGTGATTTCTATTACAATACATTAAAGCTGATTTTGGTTCAAATGTGTGCCTATTATACACTGACACGGATTCTTTATTAGTCCAAATTCAAACCGACAAATTAAACAAGTACTTACGCAAAAAGCGTAGGTTATTTTACTTTAGTAATTACCCGCCCGACCATAAGCTTTACGATCCAAAAAATAAAAGATGAATTTGGGGGCCAACCGATTTCAGAGGCCATTTGCATACGTCCAAAGATGTATTCGATTTTAACGGATCGCCAAAATTTGAAAAAGGCGAAAGACGTGACAAAAGTTGTCATCCAAAAACGGCTCACCCACGAGTCGCATAAAAGTTGCCTATTTGAGCGGGTGCAACATTTTAATAAACAGCAGTTATTTAGATCTGATAAAAAAGCATTCATATTCACGGTGTCACAAAATAAATTAAGCCTGTCACCACTAGACACCGAGCGTCATATATTATCAGACGACGTAGAATCGTTAGCCCACGGGCATTATTCAGCTGGTTGTAATTCCGTGTCCTCGGGTACAACCTGAAGTTCTTCTTTGACAAAACTCCTATTTGGTCCGTTTAATAAGTAATACAAAGTGGGACCCGTTTTTACCCACCTGCCATTGACTCGTTTAAACTGGCTAGTGCGTTAATTGTTTGTCAATTTGATAAACGTCAGCGGAGGTAATTCTCGCTCGTTTGCTCTCGCTCTTGGAGGTGCACTCGGCGTTTGTTTTACTCGGCCTAATTTGACAGCTTCTGCGGGCTCTTTGTCAATTAACCTAGTCGTTTCCTCGTTTAGCTATTTTATTACTTTAGGCAAGCGTTTCACCCATTCCACGTTACGAACACTTACGTCTAACATTTCTTGCGCGTACTGATGACCAAATAATCTTTCGGCGGCCGGCTATGAACGCCTGGCTCGCCCACATGAATTTCTACTTTATTTTTCTTCATTAACTTTTTAAACTCGCCTTTAAATTCAGATCCAGAGTTTATCATTTTAATTTTAGGCCAGGTTAGCGGCGATCTGTTATAAATTTATTTCACGGCTTCAAACGTTTTCTCGGCCGTTTTACTGGTCAATGGCTCGGCTTCTTTATAACGCGAGCCGTCGTCTACAACGGCCAAAGCGTATTTATAAGTTTTATGATTCACTCAATCCCAGGGTAAATATAATATATCCATTTGATGTGCGTAATTGGGTTCGACCAATTCTGATGGTAATGTCGTTGGTCTCGGCACGTAATTAGGTGCGGGTAAATAAACTTGCCAAACGGCTTAATTTTTTAACCACTCCCTAATAACTGACTTATCTGCGCCCGTTTAGTTATTTAGCTATTTAAGTTAATCTAATCGATACGCTAAAAAACTGACTAACACAGTCCCGGATATATCGATATAAATTCGCGTATTTGTTGAGCCTCGGAAGGTACGTGAAATCTGATAATTCAGGTTCTGGCGGCAACGGCATTATATTTTACCAGTCAATTCACTGTAAGCTCGTAACGCTTCGTCCACATTTACAAATGTTTGCTGACTAGCGCGTTCTTGCTTCATTCGCTCAATTAAAAAGTACTCTTTTTTCTCCCAAGATTCTTTAGCTTGTGCCTATTGTTCTAGCGCGAGGTCGTGGCGCTTTCGTTCTTCGTCAACTTCACTTTTCGATAAACAAAAAAAAGTTGAACCCGTTAACGCTAATGCATTTACTATTGCTCCTCCTATAATCATT